AATTGAAAGATCTTTGAAGATCTTGTCAAGAAAAAGTAGGTTCCTTGAAGATTTCGACAAGCAAATTAAAGATCTGGGCAAGAGATTTGAAGATCCTAAAAGATCTTGACAAGAATGTCAGTGATCCTTGAAGATCCTGGCAAGGAAACGGAAGATTGTTGAAGATCTTGGCAAGAATGTTATGGCACCTTCAAAATTTTGACAAGAAAATAAGCATACTTAAAGAAAAGTTTATGGGATGAAGCATGATCTTAACCACCAAAGATGTTAACTATTAAAGAATGGATGTAGAGGTCGGATTAAATGCTCACTCGGTGTAAACAACACAGGTGACAATGGGTTTCTGGCCAAAAGAAAAAACCTCATAGTAAGTTAAAAAGAAAAACTGAACCAAACCTAAAAAAATGATGATAAAACTTTTTTGTATTGCTAAATGAGAATTACCCATCCTCTTTTAGTGGGACTACTTCTGCTGGGAGAAAAAATTTTCCTTTCGGATTTTAAGTTAGTATTAAGATTTTCATTTTCCAAAAAATCTAGCTACAGTGCAGCTCAAAGATAAGAGGACCAAAATATATGTGTTTAACTTGTCTAGGACTAGATTATGATCAGACTCAGACTAGTCTTAAGGAGGGGGTAAACATGAAAAAAGACACTCTTTACAAACAAGATTACCTCAATAACTATATTTCTGAACCATATTAACTTATAAACCAAAGGAAAGCTTAGGAATCACAGACAATGAATATAACTAATATGTTGCCCTAAACTAATTTGTTATTTGACACCAGATTAATCTGTCAACCTCATGGTGTGAAAAACCTAGGTATACTTGAGAAAAGATAACTGTACTAAGATTGCATGAAATCAAGTACTTTTAGTGTCAAAGCAAAGTACTAGGGTCATTCTCTTGGATGAGGTGGGGAATTTTGGGAGTCATATATATTATGGGCACAGTACCCGTCCAAAGTTCACCAAAATTATTAGGTGAGTTCACAATAACTTTCTTAAAATTCAACTTATGGAGAAATTGTCTGCTTATCCAACTCAACTCAATGAGAGGATACAGCCCTGAAAATTACAGATTAATTGAACTAATACATCCTGAGGTACAAAATAAGTGTTTTTGGGAATTGAAATGAAAACCTCTGAAAGAGCTCTTTAAGTTGGTTACACAGAACCAAGTAAATTCACACCTTCTTTACAAACATGTCCTTCAGAGAGCATCAAGGAGAATCTCTCTAGATCAGTAAGCCTGTATCCTTGTCCCTGAAACACATCCTTTCCATCCTCACTCTCCAAGGGCTCAGAGCAAGAATCATTGGGCAAGCATGGCATCTTCATTTTCTTTCTTGAAGCACCAATGGATTCCATTTGAAAAAAGAAAAAACAAAAAAAAAGAAATAAAAAAAAAGAAAGAAAGGTTGCCACGGTTATCTTTCTTGCACACTCTGATTGAACAGTACTGTAAAACACTTTTCTTCCAGGTTCAAAAAGAGATACCTTTTCATAAGAGGCTCCTGCATTACGTTGACCTCTAAAGCTGGTTAAATGTTGATATTTCCATGTTCAACATGGAAATGATTTTTTTTATTTACTTTATTTACTTGCATTTTTTTAGATTTGTTCAAGCAGCTGTTTCTCTTGCTGTTGTAATACCTTGTTTGTTAGAGCTACAAGAGCAGCATTATGGAGTCAAGAAAGGAATACCAACCCTTGTCATGGCTGCTGCTTCCTTTGACAATGTCCTTTGCATAAGTGCATTTGGGATCTGCTTAGGAATAGCATTTGGCTCAGGTAAAAAAATAATGATCTGTTTACTCAGATCAGTTGTGGGTTTTCAGGTTTTAATTAATTGAAATTCAGAGTCGTTTATAGTAATGAATAACCTTGTAAAATTTGCCTCACTCCCTACAGGTCACTTCATAGCTGTAGGAGACCTAACTGTCTAACTAGTATCTGGGAGGGATGGGTTGGACTGGGCCCCTCAAAGCCTATGTTTTTAATTTATTCAATTTATCTCTCCTGCAAGGATCTTTCTTTACTTCAAGGCATGTTGGTTGACTTTACTCTCACAGTTTACTCAGTTCGTATTTCATTATGTTTAAGGTAACCTCGTATTCAGCATATTCCGAGGACCAATAGAGTTGGCTCTGGGAATAATTCTTGGATGCCTTGCTGGTTTAATTTGCTGGTATTTTCCTAATGAGAATGAGGTAAACAGTTAAAATGAAGAGCTTAAATAGAAAATTCAAATTTTTTTTGAATTATTGTAAACTACCAGTGGTATTATTTCTTTCTGTGTTTGTTCTGTGGTTAAGCTCTGGTTTGGATGAAAAAATAGTATTTAAAGCAGATGTGTTGACAGCCTTTTTATCCCCTTTTTCTTTTTTTCACAATTTAAACATTTTCTGATGACTTGGCCTAGTTTGTTTAAGTATGTATTACTAAGTTTGTTGCAATTTTGCTGACTTTCAAGGTGTACCATCACGGAATACACCACACTGCTTTTTGATAAATGCCTAGCTGTTTTAATTTGTAACCGATTTCCTTTACCATCTCTGCATTTGTTTCCTTAGACTAACTTGGCTCAAAACAGAGTAGTGATTCTGCTGTCACTTTCACTGTTATCAGTATTTGGAAGTAATGTGGCAAAGTTCTCTGGTGCTGGGGCTCTTGGGGTCCTAACCATGTCAACTGTTGCTGCTTATGGCTGGACACAGCAGGGGAAGGTACATTACTGTTTGTCAACTAACACTGCCTAGAATTGATGGGAAGGTAAATGGTTTGAAAAATGAAATGTGGACTTTGTAAGGTATCAAGTGTACCAGCCAGTCTATCCTGTCTTCTTGAATATCATACATGTCTATCTTAAACCTAGTAGCTGCAGGTCAGTTGGAAGTAAATTCCAAAATCATAGGAAACCTCATTGTCAACCTCAATGCGCCCTCTAAAATGTGCCCAGCTTCCATACAATGTGTGGCTTCATAGCTCAGTTGGTGGTAGCACCAACTACTATCTGGGAGGCAGGGGTGCAAATCCTGTCAAAGTCTGAGTACCATTGAAGGCTTCTTCTGCTCAAATTTCAGCTCACCTGTGAGGATCATTGATTTACTTAATATTTATCTGTTCATCAAATGAAATTCCTTTCACAAAAAAATAAATGTGTAAAGGGTTGGGTTAACTTGACTTACTTTATTATTATATGAATCAGAACTATTAATAACCAAATTCTTGAATTTGATTGGTTATTGCCAGCCCAATTTGAGCACTAATAGGGCATTGCTAATCACTTGTATTATTGATTACAGACCCAATTGGACTCCTCTTGGTCCCATTACCATTATGGATGGCATTGATTTTTTCAATGAAAAGGACTCCCCTATTTTTTCCTTTAGAAAAAAAAAGTTCATTTTGAAGGAGTCATGAAACAATTCTTATTAATAATTGAACATGGGATAATAGATCCTTATTTTAAGCTTTATTTTCATTTGTAGGTCCCTGTAGCCCTGGTGATGTCTCTAGTATGGCAAGTGTTTGAACCACTACTGTTTGGCCTTGTGGGGGCTGAAGTCAGTGTGGAGTACATGAACAGTAAGGTTGTTGGTGAGTTATTACAATGGAATAATCTACAGGCAGGGTGTTGAAACTTTAGTATGGTTGTTGCTCACCTTCAATCTGGATTTTTTCCCAGTCCCCCCAAGGTCAACTCCTTATCTTTGTCAAAACCCAACTGGTTCACGTTGTGCCCGCAAGGGCTATGACAAAATTTTTGTCTATTTCTTTTTTTTTAATGTTTCTTTACATTGGCTAGGGAAAGACCCCTCGAAGAAGTAACAAATAAAGTTATTATTGTTGGTTATTTTTATCATCAAATTATTAGGTATCACTTGGTGGTAGTATTATTCTAGAGAGTTGGTGATTTTTACTTGCCGCATGGCGATAGACTTTTTTATATTCCAGAGTCAAACGCTAACGTTATTATTATTATTATGTCATAATTAAACAGGAGGTATACAGTCCTGAATGAATCAAATTGCCGATGAGTTCAGTTGATAAAAAGTGTCAGTATGGGCTCATTGTCGTATGAGTTACTGAATACAGTCAGCTGATCATCTCAATTGGCCTAACCCTAAAAATGATTTTTTACCTTTTTTTTCCTGGTAGGAACGGGTATTGCAAGTTTGGTTGTTAGTCTGGTTATACGGCTCTTCGCCACTTATCTTGGCTTGCTTGGTAATGACCTCAGTTTGAAGGAGAGACTGTTTATTGCCATAGCGTGGTCACCAAAAGCTACGGTTCAGGTATGTAAAAAATAAACAGGATATCAACAGGTATTAAATCTGGCCGAGTACGGGAGTTCCTTTAGAAAGGAGGCGTGCTGAAGGCAGAGGTAGCAAGGGAAGGAGAGATGGAGGTAGGGAGATAAGGAGGGAGGGGTGTGGGAGAGAGAGGGGTGTGGGAGAGAGAGGGGAGGAGAAGGGGAAGGTTAAAGGACGGAACGAATCTATTGAATGTTCTAATTATTTGTTGAACCGTGTGCGAAATTTAGGCCGCCATTGGTTCTGTTTCGCTGGACTTAGCTCGACAGAAGGGCTTCACAGGGCAAATTGAAGAGGAGTTTGGAATACAGGTGAGTTGCTTTCTTAGAGTGCACGAATTCTTTTATGATTATGTTTATGGATTTGATGTTGGAAGGAACCTATTAATCTTCAAGCTAAAAGATACTTCCATTGTTTGTATATTTGTTATGATAGATTCTGACCATTGCTGTTCTGGTTATTCTTATCACCTCACCCATCGGCGCCATTGGAATCGTTTTGGCAGGACCGCGAATGTTAGAGCGCAGTCTCCCTCAAGAAGTTGAGGTCGATGGTGTTCTACAGAAATCTTCCGGATCCCATGAAAGGAGGGAAAGTCGATGTATAGAAAGCACCGTGTAATGTTATTTTTTTTTTTTACGATTTCGAGAACAGACTACTTAGCGAAGCAAATCTGAAGAGTACTGAACTATAGTTGTATATTTTTAACTTACCGAAATGATAAAAGAAAAGATTATCAGTTTTGCTATGAAATAATTATTGTACAGTGGCAATTGACAACGAAAATGCCAAGTTAAACTTGCAAAAAGCTTAGAAAAGTACTAGTGCATTCACACAGATTTAAATAATTAGAAATAAAGTCAGCGGCTTTCATTAAATGCATTCATTAAATAGTTTATTAGGATAATGCGCTACTGTTACAAGCACTGCAAGACCAGTAGCATATAACTTACTGATCTTCAATGTCCACTATGCTTCTTATTCTACAGCAGAGAGTCACACACGACTGACTAACACTAAATGAAAAACTGAAAAGTTGTTGGAAACAATAAAAAAACCATGTTATTAACTAATCGGTGGAAAACAAACTTTAAACAGAAACAAATCATAAGTGAGACCAAACGCGAAAAAGAAAAAAAACAAAACAAAACAGAAAAGTAAAGAAATAAACAAAATTAAACCTTAAGGAAAACGAACAGCGAAAGTTAAAGTTGTGGCTCTGAGAACGTGGGTAAATCAAAGTAAAGTGTATTTTATACTTTAATGAAAAAAATAAAAGATGAACAGAATAAAATATGCGATAATGCGCACAATGGATGAGATCTCAACTCCGTGACAATCAGACGGAAAGTGTCCTTCTATACTAATTGACTGTGATGCACAGTCAACTTTCCAGAGTATGAATAAAGGGGTAAGTTTCTAAAGAAACTGTGATGCTGCGTCGGTGGGAGAGTATAGCAGGTAATTTAGTGTTAACAACTGGGTTGAAAACGTAAATTAGCCACCGTAGAGGGTAAAAAAACTGACGTTTCGAGCGTTAGCCCTTCGTCAGAGCGATGACGAAGGGCTAACGCTCGAAACGTCATCTTTTTTACCCTCTACGGTGGCTAATTTACGTTTTCAACCCAGTTGTTAACACTAAATTACTTGCTTTCCAGAGTATGCTCAGCGATTACAAGATCGAGCCATGTATTGGATGATTTCTTGGCGTTAGAGTTAGGTGTACGTACTGGCGATCACATCGTCAGGTTCATGGCCTAAGTTGATATTCGCACTATTTACTGGGTGGTTTTCAGGCCTTCCTCTACGACAATACCTGCGACTTACTCCCAGTATTACCAAAAAGGTAACGAGTAGAATCGCTAACGTAGTCGTGCCGAAAATTAAAAGAATTTGCCATTTTTTCATTCCATCATCTTTCTCTCGGCTCTTCTCCCCCGATTCTTTATCTTTTGATGAGGTATTTCGATCGATTGTCACAGTCAACGAGAAAACGACTAACGTTTTAACATCGGCATTTTGTGACGCAGGCGTTGCTGTAATATTGACTTGCGTGACGATGCCAAGAGGGGTGTTGGGCTCAGATGAAAGGGTTAATAGAAATGAAGTAGTTTGTTGATGATCCATAAATATTGGAGACGGTTCAACATTACCATTTATACGAGGTTGTGATGTCAGCGCCTGGGAATAGAAAGCAACAAACTAATTAAATAGGAGCAATCGTGGTGGTATTCATCACTCCAAAACTATGGACAAGCTTTGAGTGATATGTTCACCAAGTAGGGATGTTACTAATAAAAAGGTAACGGATAAGCAGTGCCTCTATGGAATGAAAGGAAGTCTTTTGTCCAGATTATATTTCATGTTTCCCGGCAATTGTCAAACATGATTTTAAAATTGGCTTTGATTGATTGTCATTTATTACCAATTACTATATACTTACATGGAAGGTGAAAGTTTCAGCCGTAGCCAAATTCATAACTGTAAAGTTGAACTTTGAACTTTCTCCAGTTTCCAAAGACAAGTCATGAGTGGGAACATTTGCCTGTAACCGGATGTATTTGAGCGCTGCCGTTGATGTTCCAGGCGTACTTGTTATTCGTTGTCCCCGTGGCGTGACAAAAACCGTAACATTAAACAGGTTCACCTCTTTAACATTTACAGCATCTGACTGTGCAATAGCCCTCACGCTTATTGTCTTCACCTCACTGGTGTTAAAACGTGAAGCAATAACCACGTGACCTGTAGTACTTGCGTTTGTTTTCAGAGAGAGGCTGAAGGGGATGACGTAACTTATGAGCGAGGACGTCTTAGTCACTCGAAACAAAAAGGACCCTTTGGAGCCAAGGTTGACGAGTGTGAAAGGTACCTTTATGGTTTCTCCTGGGTACAGAGTCACATCGGAGGTGTTTGGATGGACTCTAAATGACACGATGTCTGGAACGAGGCTTACAGAGCAAGTTCCCATGTTTCCAACGAGATCTACTCCGACGAAGATGACCTTTGGATGGCAACAGCTGGATGTGAATGATGCTGAAATCGGCGTATTAGCAGCTCCCTGGTTGAAAGCAGCCACTGAACGAAAATAAAGTAATATTAGTGATAAAAATTATTGATTTGCATTGCGCAAATATCAATCCCGGAAAAGAAATTTTTTATCTGCGTATGGAAAGTAATAAAAGAAATGTTAGTCTAGGCGATTTTTACCAGTTGATCACTATCTGTTTTGAGAGATTGGATCGGAAGTCTTGGCAGAATCCTTCTAAGAAGTCGCAAATTTTCGGTTCCTTGTAGAATTTTCCTGCGTGACTTAAGAATAACTTTCATTTGAGATTATTAGACACTCAAAAAAAAAAAACAGAGGAATGACTTCATTTACCTTTGAGAGTTCCATTACGATTTTCTCGTGACGTAATAGACAAAAGCCCTTCTCCGGAGTCGTTGAACGTGACATGCGCAACCCACGTGCTGGAAACACACTCAGGTCTTCCGTATACCCCTGCGCATGACCCACTCTGGCTCGTTACATTACATAATGGTGGGGAGAGATCTGGGGCCTGTTGATGTCAAATAACGGTGGCACATGAATGAAAGTTAGGTCTGTGTTTTTCTTTGATATTTCCTCACATTGACATTTATCACCATTTCGCTTACATAACGACGAATCAATGGAAGAAAACGACTCAACAAGGAGCTTAGTGTATTAATGATGATGATAATGATAGCAGTTGTGATAATGGTGATGGTAATGATGACTTAGGACCAGGTGATAACGGTAGTGATAAATAATAATAGCTTCCAAGGAGAAGAAATCTATTAAACGTGCATCTTCCACTGAAAGAGTTTAATTTCTGATTATGTTTCTTCTCGCAAAATGCCTTTAACCTTTGAACTTTGCAAACTTTTCTTTAATTTCGCTCACCTTTGAAGCAACAGTAACAAATAAGACCATGAAATTCACGAGTTGAGTGAACCCCGAATCCTGAGATACGAATACCGTGACAGTGCTGGTGACACCATACTTTGCGTCACTCGGAGCTGCTAGAAAAACTCGAAGGAGAAGCGAATCATTCTTTCCTAAGCTTCGTTGGGATGGGTTAATACTTCTGAAAAAGTTCAGATCATCTGAAGCATTGAAATACAATTGCTGAAAATCTCCAGTGTTTACAACGCTGATTTCCAACTCTGAAGATTCTCCTGGGAAAATGGCGTTTGAACTGTTACTACTGTGGACGTTTTGGGACAGTTTGACGTCACCAAGAGTAAATAAGGTTGGTTTCACCCGCTGAAATTTGGCTCCTGTTGTGTCAAAACCTGTCACTTTAATTCTAAACCTGTCTGCTGATGGAATGAATTTGACGTAATAGAAATCCTGGTAGAACCCTTCTCCTTGTGTTATGTTGAAGGTTTCCAAGCTTGTTC